ACACACACGCACACACACACACACACACACACACAGTTCATATTTCAATAATTTAACAAAACATTTGCATGTTCACGGATCAATGGTCTCATGACATGCAGCTAAAAAAAAAAAAATTTAGTATTATATTATAGTATTATATTTATATTTCAGTAAGTGTTTTATTTTGATTGTTTTTCTTTTAAAATTATGGTAACACTTTACAATAAGGTTCATTAGTTAACATTAGTTAACTACTTTAGTTCACATGAACTAACAATGAACAATTATATTTTCATTAATACATTAACTGTAATAAATGTATTGTTCATAGTTTGTTCATGTTAGTTAATACATTAGCTAACATTAACTAATGGAACCTTGTTGTAAAGCGTTACCAAAATTATTTATGGTAACATTTTACTATCAACTGAATGTTAATTTCAACATTTGCTAATAGATTTTTTAAATAAAAACTTCTGTTAAACTTCTGTGTCTGTTTATATTTAATGAGCCTGAGCTAACATGAAGCAACAATGAACAGGTGTATTTCTATTAGCTAACATTAACAAAGATTCATAAAAACTGTAACAAAAGTATTGCTCGTTAGTTAGTTAATGCATTAACTAAGGTTAACTATAAGGAAGGTTATTGCAAGTGTTATTTATTTATTTTAATTTTTAATTAGTTATTTATTTAAATTTTACATATTTATGATTTCATTATGATAGTAGCTGTTTATCAGTTCACAAACCCCCTGCATTTTCCGCATGAATCACAGCATGGTAAACCCTGATCTATAGTAAGTATACTTTTTTCTTGAAAACAGTGCATTTTAAATACTATAGATATCTATAAATCCTTTTAGATAACTGAATTAACATGAGTGTGTGTGTATGTGTGTGTGCACATATTTAATCTAACATTATTTCTAAGCCCTAAAAATATTAATTCTAATGCATAATTTGAATGTGAATGTGTTCATAATGAGGTCCTATAGTGTGCTGCATACTGCGCCGTATATCTGAATACTGTATTTTAAAAATGCAATATGAAACAAAACACATTATGCATTGCTAAACCACTCCCACATGTGGTTTAAAAACTGATCCAGATCTCTGGTTCAGTTTGAATGGGATTTCAGGTTCATCGTTCAGGACATGACGTGTAGTTTTCTGTCTTTTCTAATGATAGTTACTCTCATCGTGCTCATTACTATGGCAACTAATGTAGATAAATCAGATATTGACATCTGAACAAATGCATCTGATTCCTTCACTGACAAAATTACTATGAGGACACTGGTTGCAGACGGGTTGCAGTGTGAACATGATCAACATGCTTTAATAATGGCTCTGTCCGTCTGTCAGCAGGGTTTTGCCTCCAGCTGTCGTATCTCAGTGTGAACGTCTCTGTCGTACAGGTGTCTGCTTTACATCAGTATGATTGAAGAAACCCTGAAAATATGCCTCTCGCGTCCTCGCCTGCCGGCGTAATGACATCCAGCATTCAGTACCTGCGTTTGGGATGTGCTGCTCCCAGCTGAGGAACACACAAAATCACAAGCCCAAATTAGCAATGCCTTTATGCAAATGAAAGCCTCTGTTGCTGTTGACGAGGAGAGCCACTCCAGCTCAGCTCATAAAACGTGGCAGGATCCGTTTAGAAATGACATGAGAAGGAACGGGAGAAAAGCTCCAGCAGCCACTGAGTGGAGATTTGCACTCCCTGAGGTGATCTAGCACTGAAAGAGGAGGGAAATTAAACGCAATAATCGTTAAGAAGCGATAGAATCAAGAAAGTCGTCTGTTGAACTGCAAGCAGACAAGTGTCAGAATATGAGCACACGAGCCTTTCTCAAATATAAATCAATTCATAATTATCATCTATTTTCACACCTTTGTTTTCAATAGTTGGGCGACTATTAAGTGCTCATGTTGCTGTTTATGTTCAGTAGTTCTGATTAATGCTAGACTGTGTGTGTGTGTGTGTGTGTGTGTGTGTGTGTGTGTGTGT